CTTTCAAGGTGTGAATGTGTTTATTTGTGTGCGCGTGTTTGTGTGTAGTGATCTGTTTATATTTACGTGAGTGTTTGTTTATCTATGTATTTTTGACATGAGGCAATAGATAGCATTATTCAGATTTGAAGTCTAAATCCGTAGTCCCTGGATTCCCCGCAGCGCAAATTCAGGGAAGCCTTTTCAAGACAGTGTCCCAGTTTAAGTGGCGCGCCTTCCTATTCCTCTTTGTGGTTCGTAAAGATCTCAGTAGAAGGTATTTAGGGTTGGGATCTTTTTTTTAGTTCCGATCTGTGTCTGTGATGATGGTAAGTGAAACAGAGGTGTGCGAGGTGAACGAGAGGCGGCGGACGAATGAATGGCTGTGTCCCTGCAGGGGAGGGCACGGAGGAATTTCCCTTCGTAGGATGGGCGTGTTACGAGGAGTCACCACCGCGAGGGTCCGCCAGTTTCATTTTCCGTTGCCTTTCTTCGACAGAGACACTTCCCTTTTTATACTGTTGTCCTGGGCGATTGTAAATGATAGAATCTGTAGTGATATTATATCTGTTCTTCGATATGTTTTGTTTCTACTTTTGAAAGTAGATAGTGAAGTCTTTCCTAATATTAATATTTATCCTTCGTACAGATTAGCATCAAACGGCAGCCAACCAAGATATGCATGCAGTAATTGTGCATTCGCTGTCATCAACACGGATTCTACAAGTTCCATTTTTTCTGACTGGTTGATATTAATTGCATGTATATTACCACTGAAGTAACGCTCTAGAAAATCCGGGTATTCTCGGTTCAGTGGTATGACATCTATCAAGACTGATTTGATATCCATATTACTTTGGGAAATACAGTTCATCTGAAATATTGTGGTTTTGCTGCTCGTCTTGATTAATGCAGTGAAATGATGCCCTAAAATTTAGCCTCGCTGACCTTATCGTCGCCATGAACGAGTTAAGTGTCGGCAGTGCCCTGGAGGCTACGGCCTCTCGGCCTACTCCTCCCTCCTCGCTGGCTGTGGTTCCCTCCCATTTGGCGTCGGATTCGCCTTCGAGCGAGGACTCGCCCGCGAGCGACGCCTCGTCCCTCTCCCCGATGGAATGGCTCTCGCCCTCGGAGTCGCCCTGTGACCTGTCAGGCCTATCCAGCAGCCACAGCCTTACTTCGCCGGGGTCATGCATCGAGATTCCCATTCCTGGGTTAACTACACCTTTGGTCTCGCCCAGTGTACCGTCGTCCCTCCATAGCATGACTTCGCCTTCAGCTACAGTGTCTCCATCAGGAACTGCCCCACCTGTGCACTGCATTTCATCCGAGGACAGCGCTAGGTCATCTTCAAATCCCAAAGTACTAACTACAAGCTCTGGTTCAACTGACAGTGACTCAGGGTCAGGATGGAGCACGCCCTCTCCCGTCCGGAGCGTGGTTTCCAATCCGAGTGTCCCCTGCTCCTCTCAGAGCTCTCCCGTTTGGTCTTCCTCATCTCTCACTTCCTCGACTTCTTCCACCTCATCTCCACCCTCTGATGTGAAAAGGTACTTGGTTGCAACAGCAAATGGAAGGCGCAGTAGCGCTACAGATCTTGCCCAGACCAGAGCAACTCGCAGAAACCTTTGGGAAAATATCCGGGCTAACCCCAAGCTCAATAATAGCAAGTGCAGCTCTCACTGTCGCCACGGGAAGCGTTCAACTCCCACCACTGATGATGAAGATAGTGATTTCAGCTACAGCTATCCTGCCAGTCCTTTATCCCGCAACTCACCACTCTATAGGTGTCCTGTATCATCAGGTCCTCTCCTTTATGGACCTGCCAGCCCAATTTCTCAAAGAGAGCGTTCACGCTCTCCAAGTCCCATGCCTCGATCCAGAAAGAGATCCTCTCGGTCTTCTGTAAGTCCATCACACTCCCCAGGAAGCCCTTCAAGTGATCCAGTTGTTGACTCGGGGGAAGGACCTGAAGGTTCAACATCACACTCTTGTAAAACTCCAGCCTCAGCTTCACCTAGCCCTGTTGGCCGCCTTCCAAAGCATGATATTTCAAGTTCTTCAAAGGATACATATGCTCTATCTTTGAAAAATGCAGTTAATGAAGTAACAAAGTCTAGATGCAGTAACAGTGACACTACAAAGGGGAAACGACGGAGTGTTTCAAGCGTGGTAAGTAATGCCAGTATCAGCAGCAAAGCTTTCCGTAAGAAGCAGAACCATGGGGCCTCTGCAAGTTCTATAGATGGACATCGAAGTCCTGAAATTGTCATCACTGCAGACAATATAGATATCATCCTTAATGATGACTATGCCACTATGGATAATATAGAGAAAGGTATTTCATCAAAGAAATCAACAAGGCATCTCACAGATTTTACAAGCACCTCCCAAAATAACATCTCCAGGAAATCCCAGTCAAATCTGGAAGGAGGAAAGATCAAGAAACTCAGGGATCGTAAGGAAGATGGAGGGAAGGAGGAGACTGGCAATGATACAAGTGATAAGGATGAAAAGATTCCCACAAAAACTAGGAGGAAAAAGGCAAGGTCTAACAGTCTTGCACATGAACAATGCAGATTATCTTTGAAAGAGAATATCTCAAACTCAGTTCAAAACCTCAGTGGCAAGGATTCATCTGCATCAAACAGGATTAGTTGCAGTATTCCTAGTTCCCTCCATACTGTTTGCAGTGGAAGTGATAGCAGCCCAAAGCACACTAACAAGAAAAGTAGTAGGCCTGCTAGTAGAAGCTCCAGCAGGAATGCTAGTAGGAGTGTTAGCAACAGCTTGTGGGATTTGACTGTTAGAAAACCTCTTAGTCACTGCAGCACTCCATCCCCTTCACGTGACGCCACCACAAATGCAGAGAAGTGGCGGCGGGCTAGTTTAGGGACTGTAGGTATAGTGAGGAGCAGATCTTCCACACCAAAAGATAGAGATAATAGCAGACGTAACTCAGTCACTAACACCAACAGCGGTAGTACCTGGAGTCTTTGGGGAGGGGGAGGGAAGAGTAAGAGTATCACTTTTGGCCCACCACCCCCCATCACTACCACTGTATCCAGGACCACCCCCCTACTTTCCAAAACCACTGCTACATCAAAGACAGGACCCCCCATATCGAAGACTCAGGGAGCCATACCCAAATCCAAAAACACCTCATCCAGTATTTCAAAAGCTGGAAAGTCGGTCAGCAATGCCATCAAGTTTGGTAATACACTCAAAAAAGGGACTCAAAAGAACCCAACTATCACTCCCACAGAACTCGACCTACCCTGTGTGTCTCCTAGGCAAAGGCATGCAGGGCTGAACAGAAAAGTCGGCAGTAGAAAGAACAGTGCTGCATTGGATTCAAGAATGAGTCCAGATAATGGTGCTCATATCAGGGATGCTTCAAGATACAGCCCTGTTGGAGACCACACGAATTGTTCGCGCAGTGCTCGAGGAAGTACAAGCAGCCTGCGGGACAGTGCCGTGGATACCAGTGGCAGTGGGTGGGACAGTAACATAAGCTTAAAGGACAGCTCCATGGGCAGCAGTATCAGTTTAATTGACAGCTCTATGGGTAGTTCCATGAGCCTTTATGATAGTGCAATGGGAAGCTCCATAAGTCTAAGAGACAGTATAATGGGTAGTAGCAACAGCTTGAGACATTGTTCCATCGGCAGCAGCTCCAGTCTACGTGACAGTGCCCTTGGTAGCTCCACAAGCCTTGTATATAGCACCTTGGACAGTATTGCCAGCTATAAGGACAGCACAATGGGTAGCTGTACCAGTTTAATAGATGATTTAAAGGGTAGCAGTGCTAGTCTGATAGATATGCCCATGGCTAGTAGCAAGAGTCTTACTGACAGTGTCCTAGATTTAAGCAAGGAAAATGTGTGTAATACAGCAAACCTGAAAGATAATATCGGTAGTGCAACTGAGAGTCATACAAATATCCAAAGAGATGGCTCAAGGGGTAGTACTACTAGTTTAAAAGACAGTATTCTTTATAGTAGTGTTCATTCATTGAAAAGCATGGGTAGCACTACGAGTTTGAAAGAAAGCGCCTTGGCAAATCCTTCTAATTTGAGAGATGCAGGTAGTATTGCCAGTCCTAGACAAGATGACATGTATAATAGAAAAGATGAGTCCTTAGAGAATGGGAGGAAAATGTGCAGAGCTTATAGCCGTGCAAAAAGCATGACAAACCTCAGAGATGATTCACTCTTTAGCACTGCAAGCTCTGGGTATGTTGATATGGTAGATGCATATGTTACCAGACAAAAAAATGGTGTCATGTATAGTGCTGCTAACTTGAGAGACAAAACAACAGGTTCCCGTCTACGACATGGCATACTAGGCAGTGCCACTAACTTGAGAGATAGTGCCATGACCTGTAACCAAAATCTCAGGCATGGTGTGATAGGAAGCACCACCAACCTACGAGAAAAGCTCACAAGTAATACTCCTCGTCTAAGGCATGGTGTTGCAGGAAGCACTACTGATGTCAGAGATAGTCTCTTAAGCAAAAGCAATATCATTCGATATGGTGGAAATGGCAGCACTACCAACATCAGAGACAGTACAATGGGCAGCACTGTTAGTCTCAGGCATAGTGCCATCAGTGACCTGATTGATAGTGCTATTGGTCTTGCCACAGATACTATATTTAATACCAACTTGCATGACACTGATGAAAGCAGTAACTCTGAAGATGAAGATACAAACCAAAGATATGGCTCTTTGTGGAACAAAGCAAGAGAGCTTTTGACTAGAAAGAGTGTGGCTGACTTAAGTAAGAGTGCAAATTCTTTGAATGGCATAACTGCATATGACCTGCTTAAAGTGCCACATGGCCAACCTGATTTAATGATGAGCAGATGCAGAAGTGCTCATTCACTGACCGAGCCTCAGCAAAGCTATAATGCCTCAAGTCACATCTCTAGGGCTCAATCATCTGACCTGAGAGACCTCAATCTGAAGGACTCCCAGAGACAAAAACTCAAGCGAGGAAAATCCCTGGATCTCAGGGA